AAGAGAGCAATCGCTACACTGATGGAGAGAAACTTCACCAACAACGATCGTAAGGACTATTCATTTTTCTTGAGGTTTGGATGTTCAGGTAAAACGAGTCAAATTTACATACACCAGAGCATTGTAGAAAGCTGGAGTGAAATACATAAAACTAGAACATTAAAAAGCTTGCCATATCGTACATTCTCTTTTTCTAAAATCCTCACCCGAGGATATATTCTACTGACTAGAGAGAAGAAGGGATTGAGACAGAGAAACATCCGTCAGTTGCCTCCAATATGCACTATGGCTGGGGATCAAACACACAACCTAGGTAGGTGCCCTGACCAGAATCAAACCACCATCCCTTCAGTGCATCAGACAACGCTCCAACCAAGTGAACCACACTGGCCACGGCTATATATCCATTCTCTTGAAAACAGTTTTTCTAATCTTTGGTCACCTGAATTTTAAAACTCTCATCATCTAAGATTGAGTAAGGTAAAATTTCAGGTTTTCTTTTCTTTGTAAGGGTGGGTACTATTTCATTCCTTTTGATTTCAATGAGAAGTACATGCTAAAACAAAACCAACAAAAAGGCAGCTATTACCAAACATCCTGAATTAAAACATGGGGGTTTAGAAAAGCAATACAACCTGCTCAGGACTGCAGGCTCCATGTCATATAGACAGCGCAGACTGGGGACATACCTTTACCCACGTCATATAGACAGCGCAGACTGGGGACATACCTTTACCCACGTCATATAGACAGCGCAGACTGGGGACATACCTTTACCCACGTCATATAGACAGCGCAGACTGGGGACATACCTTTACCCACGTCATATAGACAGCGCAGGCTGGGGACATACCTTTACCCACGTCATATAGACAGCGCAGACTGGGGACATACCTTTATCCACATCATATAGACAGTGCAGACTGGGGACATACCTTTAGCACTGATGCTGCGGAGATCTGTGATTTTCATTAAGATCTTTGGGAACATGTGAGGCTTGTTGGGTCGTCTCTTTCTTATATAAATTTTCAGGGCTTCCAGCAATGGTTCTTGTAGCTTATCTACTTTTGTTGGTTCCTCAAGGTCCTGGCGGTCTAGATACCGGAAATAAAGTTTTACACAATTAGTAGCGGGACAGAAAGTTTCACACTTTCCAGGCTAGAGCGTCATTCCTTGTTCCGACTACATTATGACTTTATTAATTTGATGGTTCAATCACATGTGCAACTTTGAAGATATATGCAACTGCTCTGGGCAGTGATACTTGAAAATGATTGTCCCCCTTGTTGGAGGAAGGCACATTTTGAGGGCTGCTTGCTTTTATCCCAGGGAGAGCATTACTTCTCATGACCAGGAGGTGTCACTACTGAACTGAATTAAAGCAAACCTTGAGCCGGATGGTTATGAAGGCAAGGTAAGTCGTCCCCTAATTAAAGCCATTACTTTTTAGCCACTATGATTCGGCCTCCTGCGAGCTGATAGGGGTCACTACAAAGAAGAAAGCCTTATTTTATCTCAGCCCTCTAAGGGCTGGTAGGGGGCCAATCCAATGACTTGGATTCCGGGCCACTAAATTAGCAAACAGCACACGCAAGTCCCTGGGAACATCATTAAAATGTCCCCAGGTAGTTCGTTTTATACTGTGATGCTACCTTTAAAAAAAAATACCTGTGGCAATTGGAGAAATAGCATTTTGATATTTCAGAGCAGAAGGATCCCAAACTTAATTTATAACAATATGGAAAAATGCAATAAACCCCAAGCATGCATGCCTGGCTTTATTCACATGCCTTCTTCTAAGTAAAATATCTCCAAAATGGAGATGAAGTTTCCCCCATAAATTACAAGTGCAAGTTGTTCCTGGAATCCCCTGAGGGTTTGCTAGGTAGTCGGTACCTCCACAGATTAAGCAGATGGCACTGAGAAGGCCTGTTTCTGTGTCATCCATTTCCAAAGGCAGGAGCTGGTTGGCAAAGGTGAACACAAGGTCAGTCAGAGGACCAAATCCAGCATTGTGCATCTGAGTTCGATTTAGGGTAAGGCCATCGGAAAAAGTCATGGTGTCTTGTTCTGGGGTATACCTGGTGCAAATTCTAAGAATCTGGAAGAAAAAAAAACACACCTAGATTGGATGGATCGTCAACACCAGCCTGTCCGCACAGCATCAGTCAGCTCTAGGCGGGAGGTAGCATGAGGATTTCCAAGGTGCTCCCACGTCCCAGGAGGTGCTCGGCCCCCTCTCTATTGTTGAGTGTCTCCTCAAGCTCTTTCATTAAAAGAGTTTAAGAGTCACAACACGGGCTGAAGTCATTTTAGAGAATAA